AAAAAATTTTTTTTAAAAAAAATAAAAAAAAAAAAAAAAAAAAAGCCACACCACATTCCCATCTGTGCTTCCCCTATTTTCACAGCAGTCATGATGTTTGCTCCCTGTTTTCAAAGCATCGTGTTCTGCTGTTCCTCAAGTGCTGTGCAGCTGATGCAAGCCCTGTAGCCGAAACGCAGCTGCTTCTGTGAAGGAAGACAGGAGCTTGGGGTAGAAGAGGTCGCCGCTGCCTGCGATTGCTCTCCTGCGGAGGTGGCTGGTGCTGGCCTCAGCTGGGAGCCTTGCCTGCCGCGGCCTCTGCCCGCTTCGTCGTCTCGGGTCGATGGCTGCCACTCTTTAACCTCAGCTTTCCCCCTGCTAACGGAGGGCTAAAGGATGACATGGAAAGCCCTTGCCCAAGACCGGAGCCAGGTTGCAGCCCTGGGAGGGGCGGGTGGAGGTCGGAGTGCAGGGGAGGGCTGGTGAAACGCAGGGCTCTCCGGGCGCTAATTGTATGCAGCGGATTTATCTGGAAGGAGCTGAGGGAAGAGTATCAAGGATGTCTCAGCTATTCAAGTGAGAAATCAAATTAAACTTTGCATCAAATAGTGGAGCTGCTCTGTGCTAGGAGTTATGTCAAATTCATTAAAGGTTTCCACACGCCAGCCCCCCAGGAGTTAGTGGAGAGAAAAACCAGTGCTCTGCGTCAGGGGTTTGCTGGCTTACCTGGATGCGTTAATGATGTGGGCAGAGGAAGAGGGGGTTATTGCTTTAACCTTCAAGATGCCTGTGTGCAGAGCAGGGAGGAGGGCACCGACTCCACAGCAGGGCCAGTCCTGCGTGCCGCTGGCAGCAAGCTGGGACACGTGTCCGTCAGCCTGCACCGAGGGGTGCTAGGAGAGGGCTGGGGGCAAAAGCCCCAGCAAGCCGGAGGCACAGAAGATGCTCTTGTCAGGGACAAAAGCCCTAGTGAGCCGGAGGTGTGGAAAACACTCTTGTCCCAGTTGCCTGTCTTCTGATCTCCCATTAACAGGCTTGGAGACACAGGCCCTTTGGGAACCTGAGGGTGTCTGGGAGGCGCATGGGAGTAATCTGAAAGAGACCAAAATATCAGCATCGCACAGAAGTATGTGTTCAGCCTTGCTTCTCATCGGGCGCGAGTCCACATTTGCTCCAGGCAAGGAAAAGATCTGGACAACACATTGCTCCTTCCGTGGGGACAGATTGCCCGGAGGCTGGATGGAGCACAGACTTGGCACGGGAGAGCCTGCAGCCAGGAGGAAGCCGCTGGCGTGGCGGCAGGGGAGTCGTCTGCCAGGAACCTGTGATGCCACAGGAGTTTGCCTGCAAAATGATTTCCCCATGCTGCATGCCAGAGGCTCTGAGAGCTCCCGGGTGACCTGAGCACGTCCATGCCCGCTTCTCACCAGTGGTGGGGCATGCCAAGGAGCTGGCAGCTGTGAGGAAGTGGAGGAGAGGAACATGAAGCTTCACCCACTGCAAATGCTGAATGCCGAAGTTTTCTCTGCCTCATGTGCTAAGGCCCACGCTTGACTAATGCGATCTGATTTGATTTTTTTTTTTTCCCCAGCCCTGATGCGTGTTGTGCATTGCCTTAGAAGCACCCAAGTGCTAGCTTGATGCTTAAAAGCCATTTGCAATACTGCTGCTCTGCTGGCAGGAGAAATCAGTCTGACCCTGGGACGTACAAATCCTGGTGTTGGAGCAGGGCGACCTGCTAACAGGCAGGGCTGAGGCTCCTCGGGTGTCGTGGCTACTGCTGGGTCTGGATTAGGGCTCTCAGCCAAGAAAATGGCTTTTCTCCCTCCTTTTCTGTTGACTTGTAAGAATTTTTAGGAATTTAAGATGCTAAGCCTCAATTAGGCAACACTTAATAATTTCCAAAATGTAATTTATTTGCAGAGCATTCCCATTCACAGCAGCAAGTGCTGTTAATTGCTGTAGTTTGCTTTCCAGGCTAGGATTTGAGACCTGAAAAGCTGCTGAGGGGGGCTGCCAGGCAGGCAGGGCTGGCTGTGGGTGGATCCTGCCACCCCAGGGTACGAGGAGCCCATGGAGGAGCTGTCCCTGACCCAGGCACCTGACCTTTTGCCCCAGCAGTCCCTGTCCCAGGGCATGGGAACAGGCCAAGGAGCAGGAGTGCCCGTCCTGCCTCTGTGGCTGGATTAACCCAATCGTCCTGCGGTGACTTTTGCTGTCTCTGCTCTTCGGCTCGGTTCACTTGCTCTCAGTGTGATACGGGCATCCTCATCCTGCTCCAGCTCTGCTGCAAGGCTCAATGAGCTGCCTCTCTGTGTAGGTCTGGAGGCAGAGCTACAGAAAATCAATGGGGCCAAGAGAAAAGGAGGTACTACACGCTCGTCCCTCGAGCTGCTGGCACCGGGGATGGCATCTTTGCGGCCTGATGGCTCAAGGCTGGGTTCTTTCTTTTCTTTTTCTTCTCTCTCTGGCACAGGCTGCTGCTCAGAGCTGCAGAGATGCTGTACTGAAGCTTTGCTGCCAGGCGAAGTCCCACCACGGATCCCCCGATGCAGGCTGTGCCGTTTACCTGTGAGGCACCGGCTCCTCCCGGACGAGGTGGGCTGCGGGGCAGAGCTGTGGA